TTGGAGAATCAAAAGAAAAAGTTTTTATAAATAAAAATAGTTGGCGGTGGAATAATAATGTGCAAGAAAAGATATAATATAAGAAGTTATGTTATAAAAATTGATTTAAATGTAAAAGCTTAGAAAACTGGAAAAAGTATCAAACAACCCGCAGACAGTCTAAAAGAACAATCCGTGACGCTAAAAATTTTGCTTTTAATGATCTTTATAATAGATTAGATATTAAAGAGGGTGAACAATATATGTATAAACTAGCTATATGTATAAACTAGCTAAACAAAGAGAGAAGAAAAGTAAAGATTTAACTCAAGTAAACTGTATTAAAGATGAAATCAAAAAGTACTTTTCTTAGAAAAAGATATTCAACATAGGTGGGTGAGTTATTTTCATAAACTTTTTAATGAAGTTTCTGAAAATACGATCGATCTTAGTGATCTTAATATCGTGAATAATAATAAAATGTTTCATTTTTACCGTCGCATTAGTAAAAAAAATGTTGAGGAAGCTTTAAAGAAAACTAAGGGTGGAAAGTTTGTAGAACCCGATGATATCCCAATTGAAGTATAGAAATATTTAGGAGATTTGGGTGTTTCTTGGCTTACTAAACTCTTTAATATTATTTTAAAAACTAAAAAGATGCCTGAGGAATGGAGGAAGAGTATTCCCCATTTTTAAGAATAAAGGGCATGCACAAAAGTGTGTAAATTATAGAGGAATTAAGTTGATGTGTCATACTTTAAAATTATGGGAGAGGGTAATTGAAAATAGATTAAGACGCATTTATGTCAGGCATTTATCTCAATTTGGATTTATGTCGGGCAAGTCTATTATAGAAGCTATACATTTATTGAGAGGTTTGATGGAGAAGTTCAGAGATAATAAGGCGGATCTAAATTTGATTTTTATTGATTTAGAAAAAGCTTACGATAAGGTTCCAAGGGATATCCTTTGGAGAGTTCTTGAGAAGAAAGGTGTTGATATGACTTATATTCAAGTCATTAAAGATATGTATACTAGAGATTTTACTTGTGTTCGAATTGAAGGAAGATTGACCAAATACTTTCCTATTTCTGTTGGATTACATCAGGGATCGGCTTTAAGCCCATATCTTTTTGCTTTAGTTATGAAACTTGAATTATGGAGGTCTACATTGGAGTCTAAAGGCTTTCATTTAAGTAGAACTAAAACTGAATACATGAAATGTAATTTTAGTAGTAGAGCTCTAGTGACAGAAGTGTGACTTTGGGTGATCAAATTATTAAAAGGTGTGAATGTTTTAGATATCTTGGGTATGTTGTTCAAAGCGATGATAATATAGATGAGGATGCTAATAGTAGAATTCAAGTTAGTTGGTTGAAGTGGAGGAATGCTTTGGGCCTTTTGTGTGATAGAAAAGTATCGCTTAGACTGAAAGGAAAATTTTATAAAACAGTGGTGAGACCTACAATGCTCTATGGCGTTGAAGGTTGGCCTTTAAAAAAGAAGCATAATAATAAGTTAAGTGTTGTCGAGATGAGAATAATTAGGTGGATGAGTGGCTTGAGACAAAATGCGAAATGAATATATCAGTGATAGGGTTGGTGTAGCTCCTGTGACGGTCAAAATTAGAGAAAGCCGTTGTTTGGTTACATTAAATGTCGACCATCTGATGATCCGATTAGGAGAGTAGATGTTTTAGATTTGACTTGTGTTAAGAAAGGCAGAGGTAGATTTAGGAAGACTTGGGCTTATTGTATAAAGAATGATCTTAATTTACTAGAACTAAATGAAAATATAGCACTAAATAGGATGCAATGGAGAAAAATGATTTATGTAGCCGACCCCACGTAGTGGGATTAAAGCTTTGTTGTTGTTGTTGCTCTGTAAAAGTGTTTTATGTATGAATAAAATTTATATTTGTAAATTGACAATACCATTCTATAAGAGCAGGTTAGATATTTGCCTTACAACCACTTAAATTATGTTGCCATTGTTTGTTACTAATAATTTTATATTACGTCAAAAAACTTGTAGCTCTAACTCTATTTTTTGTTCAAATATCGAGTAAAGTGTCAGCAAAATAGTTTACCTTTTAAATGGAGCCATTTTAGACCCAAATTCTATAAAAGTGTCAAATTAAGCTCCAGAGTCTTTAAATTTGGCTAAATAGTCTTTCGTGGGGACTATTTTACGCTTATTAAAAGAGTCTGGGACTAAATTGGCACTTTTAAAGACTTTGGGAATAAAATGGCCTTATGCAAAGAGTCGTGGTACTATTTTGACACTTTTCTCTTCAAATATTTGTTATTGTGTTAAAGTGCAGTAACTACTATGAGAAATCATGATTTTAGAGCTCTAAGTCTTGAAGTTATGCTACCAGGTGTATATGACATATGTTCAAGCTCTTTATGGTGGTGGTGGTTGGCCATTAAGTGTTTTTCTTTCCCCAGATTTGAAGCCTTTCATGGGTGGCACCTACTTCCCCCCTGATGACAATTTTGGGCGACCTGGATTCAAGACAGTTCTTAGGTGAGAATTAAACATGCCCTCTTAAGAGAGAGCTGGTTTAATAAGCGTTTGTTTGGCATCAATTTTGTTTTATAAAGCATATTTGTTTATTTTGTCTTTTCAATTTTTTTTTTTATTTCTAAAAATAAATAAACATGATTTTGAAAACAGTCAAGACAACATTTAAGTGTTTTGAGTGTTTTTAAAACGAACTATACTTAATTGAATTGTCAAATATGTTTTATTTCTAATAAAAACATAAAAAAACAATATCAAAATATATTAAAAATAAAAATAATAATAAAAAAAAGTGATCCCAAATGTCCCTAAGCGTCATCCTTGCTTTAGGAAGGTGAAAGAAGCATGGGAAAGTAAAAGAGAAGTACTGGAGCAGGGTGGAGCTCTTGCAATTGAAGAACTATCTAAAGCCTTGTCTGCTGCTGCTAGCTCCAGAAGACTCCCAGATCAAATTTCACAAGATGTAGTCAAACTATGCTCTGAACAGGTGCCAAAAATCTGACTGCTTTTTCAAAACTGATATTTAAACAAGCACAGATAATTTTGGCCTTAGTAGACCTTTTTTTATCTCTGCAAGGCTTAAAATACCACTGGCATATTAGACACTTATCAAAACATTATTATTTTTTAGTTATCAGTAGTATATTTGTGCTATTGAACTCACCGAAGTTTGGAAAAGTCGAAATTTTCTGTTATGTCCAGCATTGTTTATGTTCGCTTGTCTCATATATGCGTTATTCTTTTCTTTTTATTATTTTAAGTGTTAGGAGAGAACTGAATGATTTTATTCAATAACACTTATTTATAATTATAAATGATAAATACAATTGATGAGAAATAAATGATAGAATGAATATTGTTGATATGCATATCCGGTTTAGGAAACTATGGGTCCACTGTTATATTTAAGCGGGAATATTTATTCTCCCTTAATTATCCATTAATGGGTTTTATTTTTTTTTTGTTATGATGATCTGAATTTCCCTCCCACTGTGTGAGGATTAGTCTAAGTTGTATATATATTTGTTATTTGTTTAATGGGAAGATAAGAAAGTTTTTCCTCCATATTATACACGGTGTCAGAGCTAGGAAAGAAACCCTAGATCTCCTTTCAGTCGTTGGAATACTCCCTACAGTCTGCAAGCCTCCTTGGGTGACTTGACGAAAGTTAGTCCGTGACAGCCTGCAGACTTCCGCTGCCTCCCATAGATTTCCACAGCTTTGTTTCCCACAAGCGCACGAGGTCGAGACTCCTTCCCTGCAGATTTCTGCTGCTTTATTTCACGCTAGTGCGGTCATGCAGAGCATGTAGCACTGCAGATTTCTGCTGCTTTATTTCACGCTAGTGCGCGTGAGGTTTTGACTCTCGTTGCTTTCATGCAGAGCATGTAGCGAATACACGATTTTCTCTGTCCAGTGGAAATCATTATCTGATTTTCTGCCTTTGATTCTACAGCAGAAATCATAAATTCAAGAGACTTTCTCTTTATGGTGGAAATCAATTTCACTTGACTGGGTCCAAAGTCAATCTCTCCAACGCAAATCATATGCTCTCTGCCGCTGAAATTTTCTTTTTCGAGTGGAAGCCCATGACCTGTTGCGTGCCACAACCGGGTTTGAAGTTCATCTATGTGGTGGAATTCCCATGTCAGCGACATACATTTTCTCTCCACGGTGAAAATTCTGTATCAACAGTAGACAGTTTCTTTTTCTTGTGTAAATTTTGTGTTGACAACAAATAGTTCATCTCTTTAGTGGAAATCCTAATGATGACTAAATATGACTTGAAAGCTGCTTCTTCCTCTTCAGAAGTTCGTCTAAACCCGAACCTATGATGTTTGGTTCAACAACATCTGAAGTTTATTCCTACATCACCAATCACAAACTACATAACAATAATTTATTCCAATGGTCTCAATTTGTGTTCATGTATATCTATGGTAAGGGAAAAAATGATCATCTCACTGAAGAAAATCTTATACAAGAAGTTACTGATCTTAAACATCAGACATGAAAGATTGAAGATCACATGATCATGTCATCATTTGTTAATTCCATGACTATTAAAATTGAAGAAAATTTTCGCTTGTACAAAACGATAAAGGAAATTTGGGATGCCGCAAGGGAAACCTATTCAAGTGTTGATAATACCTTTGAATAGTTTTACATTGAAGCTAAGATTACATGACCTGCGTCAAGGTGAGTAGAATGTTACTCGATATTTCAATACTCTCTCCAATTATTAGTTTCAACTAAATATCTATGAAACATACACATGGAGGTCCTCTCAAGACTCTGTCATTTACAAAATCATTGTTAAGCATAAGAGAACTATTAAGTTCCTTCTAGGACTTAACAAGGAACTATATGAAGTGAGAGGAAGAATCATGAGAACCAAACATCTTTCTTCAATTATGAAGCCTTTGCTGAAGTATGGAAAGAAGATAGCATGAAGAAACGCATGATGCCAAGTAATCTCATTACATGACAACTCGATTTATGCACAAAAAATCATCACAGGACAACAAATCAAAGATGAATAGATGGTGGTGTGAGCATTGCAAAAAACTCGATAATCTCAGAAGAAGTGTTGGAAAATTTATAAAACCCTGCATATTGGAAGACCAACAAAGTTAAAGGTGATAGGGATTCTCAGAAGAAGTGTTGGAAAATTTATAAAACCCTGGAAGACCAACAAAGTTAAAGGTGATAGGGATAATCAAGCTAACTCGACATCAAAGGAAGACAAGTCTCATGAACATAGTCCATTCAACAAGAAAAAACTTGAAGCTCTCCCAAGGCTTTTGGGACAATATTCTAAGACTTTTACAGCCTTTTAGCATATTATGGTAGTCTTCAATTTGCTCTTGTTGCTCTCAACAGGAAGAATCAGTATTAGATAGTGGACTTTGGAGCATTTGATCACATGACAGGTGATCTTACTGTTTTCCAATCATTCCATTCTTGCAAACACCATGCTGCAGTTAGAACTGCAGATGATTCCCTCTTATTTTTTGAAGGACAAGGAAATGTGAAACTCACAAAAGATCTTATTCTTCAATCTATACTTTATGTTTCTAAACTTCACTGAAATTTAATGTTTATCAGTAAACTCACTCGTGATATGAATTGTGCTACTAAATTCTACCATAATTTGTGAATTTTAAGTGATAGACTCGGGGAAGGTGATTGACAATGCTGATATGCATTATAAACTTTATATACTCACTAAGACTCCCACTTCAAAAGGATCATCCCATCATATACAATCCTCTGATTCAAGTCTTTTCTCTGAGTTTGTTTCTCATCAGAGTCAAGTTATGTTATGACATTTGCACCTTGGGCATCCTAACTTTCAATATATTAAAAAAATATATCCCAATTTATTATCAATAAAAAGCCTAGTTCTTATCAGTGTGAAACTTGTTAAACATACTTGACAAGTTTACCAAAACCTCGACTACAAACCACACTAAAATCACTTAGACCTTTCTCGTGAGGAAAAATTTGAGTTGCTGACATATTTAAAATATTTCACGATATGATCCTCACCCAATTTCAGGGCAAAATTTAAATTCTCATAATCGATAATGCAAAAGACTTCTATAACTGCACTCTCAGCCTTTTTCTATCTAAAAATGGTACCATTCATATGAGCTCTTGTATTGACACATTCCAACAAAATTGTGTGGCTGAGAGAACGTACATCTCTTCAAAGTGGCCCGGTTGATTCTATTCAATGTACCCAAACACTTCTGAGGTGACACATTTCTCACATTCACCAATCTTATACATGAAATACCTAGCAGAATGCTAAAATTTAACAAACCTCTCAACACCCTCATAAAATCCTACTCATGTATTTAGTCATTTGCCTCTAACCTACCATTAAAAATTATTGATTACATTGTGTTTATTCATCTACGTCAACCTAATCAGACCAAACTTTATCCCAAGTCAATCAAATTCATCTTTGTGGACTACTCTTCAAACAAAAAATGGATATAAATACTATTCTATAGAAATACAAAAAAAATTACAAATCCATGGATGCACCTTCTTTGAAAATCAACCATATTGCCCTAAATCTAACATTTTGGGGGAGGGTTAGAGAAAATATCATATTTGAGATACCATATAAGAACCTCAAACTCACTTCCCTTATATATCTGATGAACTCACTCTTGTTTCCACTATTACAAATCAACTTGAAAATAAACATATTACTTCACTAAATTCTCTCACAGCTCATACTAAGAACCAAGAACTTCGTGTTTACACTAGAAAGAAAAACCTAGTGAGCATATAAGAGACAATATGCAAAATCAGGAATGCAAATTACGGAACCAACTCTACACACTCTAAATATTCACACAATGTTCACACAGAGCTTGGGTCAACACATCATGAACACCAAGAGGAAGGAGCACAAGAATGCACAAAATACCCAATAAAGAATTTGCGACTAATGAAAAATTATGATCCTCTTAAAAATCTTTTGTTTAGAACTTGGATAATGTGTTGGTCTCAAATTCAATCCAATAAATCTTATCTATTTTTGCTTGGAAAAAAGCTATGGATGAAGAAGTTTTTGCAAAAGAATGGTATATGGATCATAACAAATTCAGCACATGGGAAAAGAGCTGTAGTGTAAAAATGGGTATTCACTATTAAATACAAGCAGTTGGGAGCATATAAAGGTTCAATGCTAGACTTGTAGAGAAGGGTTCACTCGGTGTTATGTGAAGCGATAAAACTCAACACAATAAGAGTATTACCGTCAAGGCTAGGCTTATAGAAAAATGGTTCATTCAGTCTTATGGGATCGACTGCCAGGATATATTTGTACTAGTGAAAAAACTCAACATAGTAAGAGTATTATTATTCTTAGTTGTCAACCAGGACTGACATTTACATCCGCCAGATATTAAAAATGCATTTCTTAATTGAGACGTTAAGGAAGAGGTGTATATGGAGATACCTCCAGGATTAAAGAACATCACAAATAATCTGCTAACGTGCAAACTAAATAAATCATTGTGTGGGTTGAAATAATCTCCCAGAACATGTTTTGAAAGGCTCACCAAGATTATTCTTATCGATGGATACTATCATTGTCAGTTAATCAGACTTTATTTATGAAATCAAATCAAGAAGGTATGATAATTATTCTTATTATATATACAGATGATGTTATTTTTTCAAGTAATGACGTAAGGGAACATGAAACAATTAAAAGAATAATGATTTCTAAGTTTGAGATAGAACATCTTGGAACTTTAAGATACTTCCTGGGAATATAAATAGCTAGATCCAAAGAAACAAGTAATGACGTAAGGGAACATGAAACAATTAAAAAAATAATGATTTCTAAGTTTGAGATAAAACATCTTGGAACTTTAAGATACTTCATGGGAATATAAATAGCTAGATCCAAAGAAGGCATTGTCATATCTCAAAGAAAATATATCATTGACTTTTTTAAAGGAGACATGAATGTTGGAATGTAAACCAACAGATACTCATATGGATCTCAATGGACTAGCATCAAAAGGAGAGGATAACACCCCAGTTGAAAAATGAAGGTTTTAAAGACTTGTGGGAAAACTTATTTATCAATCACATACAAGATCTAACATTCCTTTCTCTGTTAGTGTAGTGAGAACATATGATTGATTTAAATGAAGATCATTTAGAAGCGGTTTTTTGAATCTTGAGGTACCTAAAGATGACTCATGACATGGATTGATATCAGTTGATTGCCTACCATTAACGTTTAGTCTTCTAGCATCTATGTAACCTTCATGAATTTACTTTTCTGCTTGTGGGACACTTGTAACAAAACTTACTGCCAATCTGCAAGCTTTTGAACATAAGTTGTTAAATGCATTTGTCAATTGAGCTTGTTTGGTCATGTTCTTCCACTCCTTTCTCACCTGTTCTACAACAATTTGTATTCGGCCTTCCTTTCATGATCCAGTTATAATCATGTAACAAAATTTTAGCATAATCCAGTCTAAAAATACCCTTAAGTGAAGTTGCAAAGGCAATGCGATGAAGTTTGTGTTGAGAAAACCTTGTAATTATAAGGGCACGGGCATGGTAAGTGTTGAGATTTGGGTTTCAGGATTTGAGGGTAAACTGTGAGGAATTAGCGGTGTGAGAGGAAAATAAATGCTTATTTGTGGGTTCTCACCTTGAAATATTGATGGAAAACTGGAAGAGAGGCTTGTTAAAAATGCCAAGCTTCTTATATCCTAACCCAACCTTCTTGCTGATATTTTTTGAACAGTTGCAAGAATCTCAACCTAATTTTACTTTCATACCTTCGTGTGTCATTTTGTCATGCAGTTAGCGTGTCTAAATGCCTTGTCCAACTAAGAGCTTGATTATGCAAGAGCAAGAGTTGCACTTATGTGGCAATCAGCCTTTTGAAAACCATTTGCTTTTGCTATTCTCAAAATATTATAGAATCAAAATCATAATTTTATATTTTTTATAACTGTTTGGGTTGAGCTCGTTCTTCATTCATTCATGTTTTTTGGTTCGTTTTTAAACATTGATCATCACTAACCTAATGCTAATTCTTTTTTGGCTAGTTTTGTAAATTCTTCACTCCCTTGTAAGTGTTATGTGCTATGCTATTTCTAGTTTATGTAACCATTTTTGCTAAGAGTAGCTCAAAACTTAACATTCCCAAAAAACTATTTTTGAAAGCAAAATAGTGCAACTGACAATAAACCCCTAGCAACTAAAATAAATATATGGGGCATTTACATACATACCACCCAATTCCGATGCATTTACATATCTAACAACTAAACTTTACTTTTCACATTTTTACCAACAAACTCTTTCATATCATATTAAAAAAAATCACTATTTTAAATTTTAAAAAATGAAATACATCTTTTCATGCATAGCTGAAGTACATATATGTAAAAATTGAAGTTTAGGTGTTAGATATGTAAATACGTAAGAATTAACTGGTATGTATGTCAAGTTCCTAAATATATTTATGATGTTTGCCGGTTATAGATACGATGATCAGCTTTCTTTTTTAAACCTTAAAAAAATCTGTTGTACACCATTTTCATTAGCATAAAAATCTGTTGTACACCATTTTCACTGGCATAAAAATGCATTTTGTGGTCATGCTGCAGTTAACAAAGATATGTCATTCCTTTACATATACTTTTTACATGAAACTTTTTATCTACGCCTTCATTGTTAATCTTCTCTGAATTTATTCATTTTGTGTGTCAATCATTAGCTATCAAGTAGATATGATCCAAAATTTGGTGGTTTTGGCGCTGCACCGAAGTTCCCTAGACCTGTTGAGATATGCCTCATGCTTTATGAATCCAAGAAACTGCATGAACAAGGGAGGGAAAGTGAAGGCAACAAAAACATAGAAATGGTTCTTCACACATTGCAATGCATGGCTAGAGGTGGAATTCATGATCACCTTGGAGGTGGATTCCACAGATATAGCGTGGATGAATGTTGGCATGGTGAGTTTGTGTGGTGATCTTAAAGGTTTGTGTCCTTGCCTTATTCTTTCTTTATTGGCCTTTATTACTGTGGAAAGCTTGTCATTGAAATGTTATTATTAAATTTGGAGAGAATTTTTTTAAAACTTATTATTGATCAAGAAGAAAACAATATTTATAGTATGGTTGGTATTCTTGCACATTTAATTTATATGGTACTTTCCCAAGAAAATTAGATGCAATTTCGATTTTTTTTTAAAAAAAATTTACCAACCAATTGGAATAACCATTTACTCTTTTGCTTCTAGGGATGGGTTTCATTTTCCTTCCATCAAACCGATGCCCCCCTTTGATCTCATTCATGCATTCATTTTATTTTTGTATCCTCTATCAAGTTGGAGAGTACACATCAATCAATTCTAACATGCTCATGAGAAAAACAAAATACAGTCCTTTTATAAGGATATCCGTAGTTTTCTATAAGGTAGGAATAAAAGACATGCAAATAACTCTATTGGAAAGTGGTGATTAACCTCAACATGGTGACTTCTTTGTGTTGGGAAGGACTGTCGGCTATACTTATCACTATCTTATTTTCAAAATATAGTTTCATTGAAGAATTGTAGTTTTTTTTAGCTTAACCAAAACCTATTATAACCACAATTCACATGCATCATTGGTGATGGTTTTGTATTCAATTTCAACATTATTTTGAGCTATTGTATTTTGTTTCTTACGCCTTTATGAGACAAAGTTACCGCATTCATTGACAGTTGTCCCGGATGAAAATAATGTTGAAACTCCGATTAGGCGACATTAGGGCGACGATAAGGTTCCACCTCATGTTCCTACTCAAGATATAAATATACTACTTGCAAAAGAAAGATGATACAACACTCTTGGGAGCAAAAATCTTAGAATCGTCTCTCAAATTCATAAACTCAACAAAACTAATTTATCCAAAACTCTAATACAATATATATATATATA